ACAGAGACATAGGGTGCTAACTGAAAAGTTTCCACGTGGGAACCATGAGGTCTGGTATGTCAGTGGTTCAAGTCCCAGATGTCCTGGTGGTGTGTTTAAGAAGTAAGGACCGTCGGGGAGTTGTTTGGCGACAGAGCTGTTTGTCAGTGTGAAACAGAACATCACACACAAGAGCTGAGCATCACTGAGATCATGCACACACACCTTGAGCTCTTATTGACGTAAAACAAAAGTAGTTGTGTGTGTATTTGGGTCTTTAACGCCAGAATAAAAAAAACATCAAATTCATTTGGTGACAAACACAAATTCAAGTAAAATGTTGTAGTGTGAAATCAATACAGCTTAGATATTTTCCCCTGACTCAAACCCAGTATACTAATCCCCTCTACAAATGTATATAATGTGTTTAGTAAATCCTGGGGTGTGCCATCCTCACGCTGTGTACGAGACAACAAAAAATAAAAGCTCAACATGTATTATTTACTATTACATTTTACAGCCTGTTTTAATAAATAAGATGAAGCGTTACCGTGGTTATCGTCTGGAAAAAAATCCCCACCCATTTATGGCATTAGAAATTTAATTAACTCAATGGGGTTCCTTTCCTTTTGGTAATGATGCAGAGCAAACAGAAACAGAGCTGAATAAATCACAGAGGAGCTGTGGAATAAAGACAGGAAAAAAACGAGGAGTGGTTACCATGGCAAAGCCAACATCAGCCTTTTTGAGGGCGGGGCCATCGTTGGTGCCATCTCCTGTCACTGCCACCACCTGTCGGGTCTCAGCCACCGTGCTGTCAATGATGCCTGTTCAACAGGATGAAACAGACAGTTCTGTGTCTTAGCAGGTGTGGTGTATGCAGATTCATGTGGCGACAGCTCGTGTGCGAGGAGCAAAACAATAACAGGGAAAAAGGATGTTCTCGTCAACAGTGCATCTTAGAAGAACCCACCTTTGACGAGAGTGTGTTTGTCAGTTGGTGAAGAACGAGCCAGAACGCGCAGTTTGGGCCAAACTTTGTCCAGACGCTCCTGTTCCACCTGAGAAGACAAAATATCAGCTAACAGTTTCACAGTGGTCGAGTTAAAAAAAAAACACAAAACACAGTTGCTGCATTCGAAAAAGATACTATTAGTGTACAAATGAAAACCAGAACTGCCATCAGAGGCAGAGAAACGCCAGTGATGACTTCACTGTCATAGGAAAAAAAGAAGTATTGCACCACGTATCCACAGGCACAGTAAACCCATTGCTGTTTGTGTTGATAAGTCGCATTTCACCTTGACACAAACACATTTCATTATGATTCTGCACCGTATTCAAATGAGAGCCACTGACAAGCACTGATAAACACATTGATGTTGGTTTGAGCTAGTTGATTGTACTGCTAATCTGAGGAACTACAGTAAAACTCCTTTTATTATTATTCCTCACCTCTCCCTTGTCGTTTCTAATCTGCTGGTTAAACTCCTTGCCCTCCAGACACAAGAAGTCCTCTCCTGGCAGCAGGATGCCACACTTGGTTGCAATTGCTCTGGCGGTGTTGATGTTATCTCCAGTAACCATACGTACAGTGATGCCAGCGCGCTGGCACTTAGAAATGGCCTCTGGTACCTGAAACGTGGGAGAGAAACAAATAAGTCTAACTTCTTTAACAACTGCAAACCTGAAACATTACAGAATAAATTTAAAAAAATTATGTTGGAATGTTTCGTACTAACGTTGGGAAATTTGGAACTGATTTAAAACAAAGAATATGGCTCCTGCTGTGGGCAGCCTGTTAACAGCTGATCTGCTGTTCACACAAGAATTTTCCAAACATGGGATCAATAAAGTTTAAATGTATTTATTTATTACAATCTCAGCGGTGGTAAAAATGCAGGCATCATGACGAGCACACTGAAAAACAATTCTTGCTTTAAATAAGACAATGTAAGAATCTACTTTTGTTACGCTGTCTCCAGAATCCGAGACCTTTTGTCTGTATAAATGCCACTGTTGTCTCTGTGCAGTGAATAACACAGAGCAGATAAAAAGCTGCCGCCGTAGTTGAGTAGTTATGATTTATTGCACTGAATAACAAAAAATGGTATTTGGAAAAACTACTGCAGTTGTGGTGCAGAGTTCAGAGTAGTAGAAACAACTGGACAGAAAGAATACTTCTGTACTTGGATCTGGTGTCCGTCTTATGTCTTGTGTCCACCACAGGTCGTGTGGAGACAAATGACGAGCTGCTGATTGTCTCCTGCTGTTCTATGGTTATTTCCATCCTGACTGTGATCTTTGTGCTCTGACATTAAAGCAGCAGGCAGCAGCACCGACGCTCTCTGAACTTCATTACAGGCTTCATTTAACACTTCAAAAGGATCCAAAATCAGAGCCACCTGACCACAACTCACTTTAGTCTTTGTATAAAGAAATCATTTCAGTTTACTCCATGCCAATATACACTAATGTATTCTTTATATGTAACTGGAATACAATAGAAGAAGATCAGGAGCATCCTCAAGAAAAACCACAATGGCAACCATGGTTTAAAACAGTGATTCCCAAAGTAGGGGGCAGGTTCCCCTTAGGGAGGCCTGAAGCCATTTTGGGCTTTGTGAGAAGCACGCAAAACAAATTACATTCATTTTTTTTTTTTGTCAATTGCGGCACAGTGGCAATAAACAATTGGACCTCAGTTTGTTTTCTTTTTGCAACAAGAATAGTAGTATTTGGTGGAATTACAGATTTTAAATACATTTGTTACAGATTTAAAGCTAGTGTTTCTGTTATTTCAGTACAGGTTATGCACACAACTCTGGTTTAATAACAACGCCATACAAACCACTAAACAGTGTCAACTTTGCCCTGTTGCCCTGACCTAAGGAACCAACAGAAACGTCAAATTCTCTGTAAACTTGGAGAAGTGTACCTCGGGTCTGACGGGGTCCTCGATGCCCACCACAGTGATACAGGTGAGCTCGTTCAGAATATCATTCTCGCTGTCCCAGTCTGGTTCTCCAGCCTCAGCAGGGAAGTCCCTGTAGGCCACACAGATGGTCCTTAGCCCATCACATGCCATTGGCTCGATTACCTTGCGCACCATCTCATCACGGTCCTTGGGCTTGAAAACACGAGGCTTGCCTTCGGCGTCCAAGATACGAGAGCACCTACGAGAAGAAAACAAAAAACACGTTAGGGAGGAACAAACACGAGACGCATCATGAGACAAATACGACTTGACATGGACAAGATTCCATTTCCTCTTACTTCCTCAAGACGATTTCCGATGCTCCTTTGCTGTACATACGGAAGCCTCCATCTGCATTCTTAAGCACTGTGCTCATGGACTTGCGAGAGGAGTTGAAGGTGTAAACCTTGTAAAGTTTCTCTTCTGGCACCTCGTCTCTGATTGGTTGATAATCCCTCTTTAATTCCAGCACCAGGCCGAGAAGAGAACATTCAGTCTTGTTGCCTACGTGGCGGGGCAGGCCACCTTCCTTCTCTGGAGGCTGAGAGAAGCAAAAATGATTTCAGTGAGAAGTTCATGTAGAAACAGCTTTTATGTCCTGTCAAACAATATTTATATATAAGCAATATTTTATGGATTATTATAATCCAAGATCATGCTCATGGGCTGTAACTCCAGTCTGTGAGGGTCTCACCAGGATCTTGGTGGTGTATGCAGAGTTGATGGAGATGCTGTTGACCAACACTTCAAGTGTCTCTGGTTTGATGGCTTCAGGTTCAGGAACAGTTTTGTGGTGTGTGTCACCAACGTATGCCTGTACCACCGTCATCCGGTTCATGGTCAGTGTGCCAGTCTTGTCGGAGCAGATGGCTGTAGCGTTGCCCATGGTTTCGCAGGCATCCAGGTGACGCACCAGATTGTTGTCCTTCATCATTTTCTAACAGACGAACGGAGCAGTTAGAGGCTTTTCATCTGCTAAAAACTAAAACCACCTGACCTCACAGATGGTAATGTCTTTCAATGTACATCAAGTGCTGGACAAGGTTTTCTAAAATAGTGCTACATCCTCCATTTCTTCATCCCTATCCAGTTTACCTTGACGGAGTAGGCCAGAGAGATAGTGACGGCGAGTGGCAGCCCCTCAGGAACAGCAACCACCAGAACGGTAACGCCAATAATGAAGAACTTGACAAAGTATTGGATGTAGATGGGAGTGCATTCAGCTATCCAGGAGCGACCCTGGATCCCAAAGGTGTCAATCACAAAGAAGAGAATAAGGATGATGACGGTCACAGCTGACATGATCAGACCTGTGTGGGAAAACAAATAAGAGATTAAAAAATCTCATCTTCAAATCAAGTCAGCTCATATTTTATACAAGATGGTAAAAAATTTACATATAATTTGTATAAATATGAACTGTCATGTATTTGGGTTATTTTCTGCAGTATTTTTGAAACGTGATATGTTTAGCGACGGTTTGTGTTGAACTCAACAGAATGTGGAAAAACTCCCTTCAAAGACCATATAAAACCTTATTTTTAGGAGCAGGTGACCCAAGGAATTGAAGACTTTTAATTTGAATTTTATTTCCTACTTCATTCTTTTCACTCTTTCTCCAGTTTATCCACCCACCATTTCTTGCAGATTTATTAGGCCCAGTAACAAAGTCACAGTGAAATGAAAGCCGTTTTTATAGACTTGTGTAATGTCATGAGATATTGATAAAAGAAATGAACTTCTGACAACTCCAGAGGCAAATAGAACACAAGACAACATCCTGACAGAGGGGTCAAGAAAAAAAAAACCCAAACACCTGTGTTTTTTGTTTTATCCCTTTGTCATCCCTGTTATTTGTTCAGTCAGTCAGACATCCACCTGCTGTCAAAGCAGCCCAAATGTTGGATCCCTGCGGGGACTGGAACTGGTTCATGGAAACTGCCCCGCTCCACCAATACTACCTCACCCCCAACATAAGCTAAATTAAGGTCAATTGAAATGACGCAGGAAATACTTTCAGTTCCAGGATGAACCAATAAATCATCTGTCCAATAACACTGAGTGCAATCCAGCCCCCGACTTTATGTGCTATTAAAGGAGGAGTCCCAGATTTCTGAAAATAGCACAGAAACTGGCTCAACAAGAAGATAAAGGAGCCACCAAATCAAAATAAACTCACCCTGAGAGAAAATAATCTCATTTCAAAGCAGACCAACACGGGCGTGGCAGTTTGTGTGTGTGTGTGTGAGTGTGTGAGCGTGCATGTGTGTGTCCTTACCAGCCTTCCCAATTTGTACAGCCAGTCTGGTCAGTTTGCCCTGCAGCACTGACTTCTCCTTCTTAGTCACGTTGACCTTCTTCACTGGTTTGGCCTCTTCTTTCTCCTCCTTTTCTTCAGACTCGGCCGCCTCCTCACTCTTCAGGGGCTGAATCTCCAGGGCGATGCCATCCTGGGTCTTGGCTGGAGGAAGATGAGGTGTGGGGGAGTAAGGTGGAGGGTGAAGAGGTCAACGTAGAAGAGGGACGCAGGTTTTAAGATGCAAATGGTAAGGGAGGAATTGATCGAAGATATAATAGAGGGTGGTGGGAAAAGTGGGCAGAGTAATGGAGATGAACAGATAAAAAATGTAAAGTGGTAGGGGTTTTTAAGGGAGCAGGAATTGGAAGCAGAGCAGGAAGTCACAAGATGACAGAGGAGGTCACAAAATAAAACGGTGAATGAAGGGGGATTCAGGAGTGGTTTGGGAACAGGGGTGGAGAGGCAGAGAAACGTTATAGATTGAGTCTGATGGAAAATTTCAAAACCCTGGAATTGCTTTTTTAGAGATATTTATCTCTTATATTGTGACCCTTAAGTTACAGTATATTTAAGAGGTCATCATTGTGTGGTCACAGAAGGGTCATGGAAACGTCCAGGTAGCTTAAGGTTGTGTCACAGACAAGTTGGGAGCAGCAGGTCGTAATGAGGAGCAGCAGACAACAGAGAACAGCAGATACAACAGAGAAGATTTAACAGGAGCCTGTCAATCACACTAAAAGACACAAGCACACGCACACACACGTACGCACGCACACACACATAGAGATTTTTTAAACAATAGAGCTCATCTGTGGAACAGGCTGGGTTTAGAAATCTGATAAGGCTTCTGGGTTCACATCCTGTTCGGCCACTCTGCTCCTCATTTGCTTTGACAGTGTATTTGCATTTCACACCATCAGCCTTTATTCCTGTTTGAACTGCCGCACAGAAAATGCAGATTTCTGATTTGTTTGTCAACTGCTGAACAGCTCACGCTATATTTAGATAAACTACATTCATTTAGTGCCACGTCTCATATTTCAATACAAAGGAGATGCAAGAATGATGAATGGAAACAACGATGCCAGAAGCACTCTGACAAACAGAGGTTTGATGTACAGTTTGTTTGTGAACAGATTTAGATAAAAGTCCTGTCTAATTATTTCATTTTCTGCATTTCTAGGCTAGTGACATTTCTCTAAAAGTACCAAAAATAACAAAATGGTCAATTGAGAGATATAATCAGCAAGAGTTCCTGGAACTAAAACTGTCAAAAGCTCATAGAATAAAAAGAAGTTTAAGTTTCTGGAGTTTTAAAATAAACTTTTCATGGGTCAGCTACACCGCTATTTTTAATCAAATTAAAATTAAATGGTAAATATAAAAAAAGACAAGTCTCTTAGCTTTTTATAATGACTAAATTTGGTACACTTGAACTTGACCAACATTTAACAATTTGAGGGACCTAATTTATAAACAGTCCTTCAAATGTGCCCGTACAGTAAATCTCTTTAATGATCAACTCTAACGATCAGCTGTTCTGTTATATGACACAATAAATTCTGAGAACACTGCTGGAAAATAAATGATGCCATTTTGTTTACAGTAATGTCTGATGACAGGAAATATCCCTATTTTTTTTGAGATTCCAACAAACGTTTAAATTGTTGTCATGTTGTCAACTGACTTTCACTTCTACTACTACAACTGGCAGTAAACCCATGACGTCTGGGCATCTGTGTCATTGTCATTGATATATTACTGATTGTATGGATGTTGAGTTCAAACCTGAGAGCTGTGGAGATTTATACACACGGCCCACTCTAAAGACAAGCCACAACATAGAGCTAACCAACACAGCTTCACACGAAGAAGACTGAAATCCACTGACCAACCACAGAACTTCAAACAGGCGCAGCACTGAACCATGGTAAAACGCATGGCGGGCAGAAGATAGAGGGTGTCTCACACTCAAAAAGAAAAGCAAGTCAACAAACAGAAGACAAACTCAAAGGACCAACCCCAAAAAAATGTGAAAACGACAGCAATGCAAAACCACGACAGAGAACTACGACAAGAGGTAGAAGAGGCTGCAGCGCCGTGAAGCCTGCAGG